CTCAAATTTTCACATCTTCTGTGGTTACAGTTTCTGAAGAATCTGACCCTAAAATTAATCTGGTGTTTCAAACCTACCCACCCTCCCTACTCTCCTTTGGCATTGGTAGCTAGCTCCTAAAACCAAGCTATCCATTACCAACTCTCCTTCACACCCCAAAATTAAAACAAAAGCAAAAACGCCTATTCATTTACCCAGAAAAAAAAAAAAAAATCAAACATGATGAAACAACCTCAAAAAAGGTACATAAAACCTAAAATGGAGAACAAGAACCAAAAGGAAAATTCCTATTTCAGTTTTCAGCTGAATCGAAGCTTAATACAGTCACTTCGTCTTCCATGGATGACATGGGACGTCTGGTTCCTGGCCTCATCTTTTTCACGTCCTGACTTGAACAGATAAATATTCTTCTTACAATGTTGCAGAATTCCCTGAATCAGAGTTTAATCAAGCTGAGAATATTAGAAACAACTATCTTCTTAAATAGTATAAGCAGAAACAAAAAGAACTATCAATTAGGAACTACTTACGGCCATGGATCATCGCCTACAAGCATCATATCTCCTTCATCATCAGTGTAGACTATCTCCCACTTATCCCGTGGGTGAAGCTGGCCTTTGATATCAAACATCTTCTCCAGTTCATCTATAAGCTTAGTGTACCCATTGATCATGGTTAAATCCACAGCCCGACCAACTGCTACTCCTTGCATCTGAACCTGTTTTTGTAATATTATACACAAGACACAAACACATCATAATTTGTTTTAAATAAATGAATAAACATACTCTGAATGAACATTTTACTTTCAATACCTTTGTGCGGCTTCGTGCAGAATTACAAGTACTTTGCCAGTTGATTTCTTTCAATGATATCTGAGACTGTTCCTGCTCCTTCTCCTGTGGCTCTTTTGAAATTTTGGATTTCAGGTCTGAATCAGTGGCTGATAGGGTACTCAGACTATGTCCTCCAGTGGTTCCACCAGATACACTAATTGGTCGTGCAGGTGCTTGTTCCAACTGAGTTGAGCTTGCAGCAGAATTTTTTAGATCAATACCAAACAATCGGCAACTAGTAGCTGTGTCAGTCTTTCTCGCCTTGTCATCCAGATCAAACATCAGATCACTCTTCAGGTTTAAAGAGTGTGGAGCTGAATAAGCGAAGACACCCTTGCTCTCCTCTACTGTATCCCGAAACCGATGCTGAGAAACATTTAAGTCGGGAGAGGCTAGCCAGGCCCCATCACCGATCTGAGTCCTTGAAACAGAGTTGCAACTGCTGTTAATTTCAGATTGCATGTGATGCCAAGCAATATCGTCATTTCTTATACCCTCCCGTGCATGTGTCACCCCAGAATTCCAAGGAGCAGATGCAGCTGAAGCTAAATTTAGGGTTCAAAGAATTAGATTTAATGAACTCAATCTGTACCAGAGAAGCAATGAATCAGGAAGTTTTCTATTACCTAGGGCAGGAATTTCTGTGGTTAGTCGAGGCCTTTTGTTTTTCACTGCATCTGGTGGTGCCACATTTGGTGGTGTGGGAGCCGCAAAGGGTTCTATCTCCCATGGTGAAACCCTGTCAGGTCTTGGGATAGATGCAGGCTCATCCCATTGAACCTAGGCACAAAAATAAAAATATCAATACCAGAACAATAAATTTAGAACAGAGTGGAAGAAAGCAAGCGGGAAGAAATTTACTTTTAATGATCGCCATTTTGAGTCTTTCCAGTGAGGAGAAAAGTCATCAACCCCGATAATGGTGCCTGAAAACCTGACCAACCAAGTTTCTTAAATACGCATCATGTTGGCAACTCAAACAACCACCACATTACACAACGATGACATTTTTTCAATTACCTTGTCACAGGAGAATCCTCTCCCTCAAACCTCATCTTGAACCTCATGCCTACTACAAACTTATTGTTGACAGCCTCTAGATATTTATTCACACTGATGATGAACTGACTCGTCCTGATAATTTACAAGCAAGACAAATATAAAAAAAGAAAGACATGTTCTCCTCATACCACTGAACCTGTATAAAAACATACCTTGGTTTGTAATAGACGACAAAGAGGGTTTGGGTTGCAATAGCATGAGATGCAGTTGCAAGCACTCCCAGGTGCATGCTCTGACTTGAAATCACTGATGATGGCATACTACTTTGCGGGTGAGCAACATGCCTAACTCCAACACGCAACTCCCCATTTTCCCCCCTGCGTAACCAATTTATTAACAAATTAAAGCTCAACTTACAAAAGTACGGGTGCTATCACTTGCTACAACAGATTTGAAAACACTAACCTCAGGAATACAAAGGAATCACCAGCAACTAGTCTCTTTGAAGTGACAAAAGTACTCCATCCTGTTGTAAGCAAGTGCCTCCGTGGTTGACCTGCCCATTTAATCCTCTCCAAATTAAACATACTGATTTAGTAGGTTTCTAAAGCAGCATGTCCAGTCCCATTATGAACTAGACAGCCACCCAGAGTAAAAAGGATAAAAGGTACTGCATTTCTTCAGAAACATCACACGAACAGGACAAACAAGGCAGACATCATTTATTACCTCTGAAAATATGCTTGAAGCGCCACTCATAGCCATGAAGATCTTTGGCAACCAATTCCTGCATTGGGGTCGGCTGGTTCATGTCCTGAAGAAGATCCAGA